TAGGGATCTTCCGGTTTCCGGATCCAAATGAGAACCGACTAATTTGGAATCGAGCCGAGTAGGACCACAAGGGCGACAAAGCTCTCCCTCAAGAGTTGTAACATATTGTATTTATAAATTATATATATATATATACTGTCATATTTTAATATTATATTTTAAAACACAATATTAATATATTTTATTTTCTGAAAAAAATGATACGAAAGCCACAAATACAAAGAGCGGAGGTCTTGTTAGAACTTGGGTTTGATCCTAGTTGTGACCTAATGTAAGCGGAGTAAATTTTTCTAATTAATATGGAATAAAATATTTGTATCGCATAATATATGACGAGAAGAAAATGTAATGTGGAGTTAAACACTATTTTGTCCAAATAACATATATGAGTCGTCTAATTAAATAAATACAGTACAATTCACCAATTGCATATCGGGAAAATGCTAATGTCCCGTTACGGAATTATTTCGTCGAGGTTTTTAATTAGATCATCATGTAATCGTAGAGATAGTTGATCTAACAGTTACAAACCTCGATAGAATGATTTGTAACAGAACCGTAACATCTTCTTGCATTCAATAAACAAATGGTGCCTAAGCTAAGACGTGCAAAGGTGCAATACAACATGGACTTTGGTCCATAAACCTTCAATAACAGCACTAATAACGACAAATTCTCAAATTTTCAACTCATTTCAAACAGTTTGGCACACATAATCAGTCCACCCAATAAGAACCAACAACGAAACTATAATAGTCTTTAAAAAAATAAAAAAAAAAATAAAAATATGTACCAAAAAAAATAAAATAAAATAAAATAAAATAAAAAAATAGCCATGACGTTCTGGGAATTTGCAATCAACCAATATTTCAACATTTGACCATTATTAATAAAACACGAGGATTTATGAGCAAACGTATTTGACTAGACACGTTTCGGAGTAAAGGTCAACCTTGAGAATAAAAAATTCACAATCTTTATTGAAAAAATAAATTAAAATGTGTTCAATCGCTAAGAGCATGATTGGATACAAAAATTTCTCAAAAAAATCCAAACATTTTTAACTCAACCACTTTTTTAACTCAACTTTAACTCAACTCCACTATCATCAATATTATCAATATAATTAAATAATATCAATCAATCATTCTTACACACAACATCAACTTTAATTCACTATTCATCTACTTACATAAATTTAACTAACTATCACATCACATTTTCTCTCTCTTACTTTTACATCAATTTAATTTTAATTATTTTATTTTAAATATTATTTTATTATATCCATTAACAACTAAGCATA